AATGAAAGCGCTTCATTATCCATTCAGTCCCTTTTTGAAAGGAAAAAATTGCTCAGAAATAAAGAGGATGTAGGAGGAACTCAACTTTTTACTCCACATGATCATGGCAAAGCGAAAATTTTAGAATTTCGTGTCAAAAAATGGAGGCTCGAGAAAATGTCGACGAATTTTAAAACATATTTGAATATTAATTAAATTTGTAAATATCAATTCGTATTAAATGTGGACAAAAAAAGAGAAGGGTCAGAACTGGGGAAAGAAGGTCAGAGTGTTACCCGCGGTGGAAAGCGCTGGAAAAAAAAGATCATTGTTAAGATTACCGGCTTCAAGCGTTAGTGAAACTCGGTAGCTGGTTGAAATGAAAATATAAAAATATAAAATATATACTTTTGGTTTTTATTCTGGCAAAACGTGCAGCTTATATGTCTTTTATATGTATTTAAGGCCGACCAATGCACTGGTTTGCAAGGTTTTCTCATCTTCCATTCCTTTGGTGGAGGTACGGGCTCTGGATTCACATCTCTGCTCATGGAGCGTCTGTCTGTTGACTATGGAAAGAAATCCAAGCTGGAATTTTCCATCTACCCAGCACCACAAGTTGCAACGGCTGTTGTGGAACCTTACAACTCCATTCTGACCACTCACACCACCTTGGAACACTCTGACTGTGCCTTCATGGTGGACAATGAGGCCATCTATGACATCTGCCGTCGCAARTTGGACATTGAGAGGCCAACTTACACCAACCTGAACAGACTGATTGGTCAGATTGTGTCCTCCATCACGGCTTCACTCCGTTTCGATGGCGCTCTGAATGTTGACTTGACTGAGTTTCAGGTACGTTAAGTACTGATACTCGCAATATGTAGTGCTTCTACATGTAGTGTTTCCTTCAGTTTGAAAGCGCCTGTATATTTTGGAGTATATTTAAATGCTGCTTGAGTTGCTTTTTTATTTCACTGAGGTTTTGAAAACATCTTTCTTATATTTTGAATGTAGACCAACTTGGTGCCATACCCACGTATTCACTTCCCTCTGGCCACCTATGCTCCTGTTATCTCTGCTGA